CACTAAGTTCCTCAGGCTATACTTAAAGTTCCTGTGTAGCCCAGACAGGCCTTGAACTTGAAATCTTCCTACTTTGGCTTCCCAAGTAGTTGGAATTACAAGATTGTGCCAGCAGGCCAAGCTGAAAGTGTTCTTGCTTTTTGTTTTTAATATAGACACCTTGTTTTTGTTAAAACATAAACAGATTATTTTATTCTCTTTTTTTTCTAGATACCAAAATTTAACATGGCATGAAAGAGGCTAGGGAGGTTGCTCAGTGAGTGAGAGTGCGTGCTCTGAAAGCACGGGTACCTGACCTTGAATCCCTGGCACCTTTGTTTAAAAAAGAAATGAAGCGGTACATGTGTGTATAAACTCCAGCACTGGGCAGTGGAGACATGCAGATCCTGAGAGAGTTTGCTGAGCTTCCAGTTCATTGAGAGACCCTGCCTCAAGGCAAAAAGGTGGAGAGTAATGGTGGAAGATACATGATGTATTGCTCTGACCTCCACATGTGTACTCATGGGTTCACACTCCTGCACACTCATGTGCATACCATACATACACACACACACACACACACACACACACACACACACACAAATCAGAAAAAAGGGAGATAAAAAGTTATAGGTATAAAAATGCAATGAGTTACAGGTTGGCTGGTGCTACAGGGAGACCCTGTCTCAAAAATACCAAAAGGGAAAAAAAAAGGAAAAAGATTTGGTTAGGTAAGTAAGGTTTTGTCCTCCAAGTGAAGGACCATTCCAAAATGGTAATAAACAGACAGGGACAAAACTAAAAGGCTAAATTTTTGTTACAGAGGTTTGTGGGGAATGAAACTTACTTAAAAGAGGTATTTGTCTGATTAAGTTGACTATAATGAAAAGTTGTTATTTCAAACAATTCCTATGGTTGAATTTTGTTAGGTCATTATCTTTAGTCAGTCTGCTCGAGACGTTAGGAAGGAACTACAGAAGCTCAGGATGGGCTTACGCTGCAGTAAAGAATTTCAGGGTGAATCGTTTTGAAAGAAAGTGGGAATTTATTAAGAGAAATATTTTAATATGAATTTAAGCACAGGTATTAAAGGAGAGAGAGAGAGAGAGACAGAGACAGAGACAGAGTTAAGGAAAGGACAGTTGTGAGAGAACTTGAGTGAGAACAGGCATCACAAAACAGAGTTGCCACTCTTATTTTTCACACTTTTTTTTTGTTTCTGACATTTCAAGATGCTCCAGGATCATTTTTTTATTCCATACAATATTACGTATATAGATACTGTTTATTTGTGTCTCCTAACACTTTTTATTTTCTAAGTTTCTATTCTGAGCCATCTATCGAGAGAATATTTTAAATTTCCATTTAGCTGTGGAATTTAACTCTGTATTTATTATTTTTAAGTTTACTAGACTGTGTCCTGTGACACAGCTGTCTTTATTTAGTAAGAACATTTTTTATTTTCTTTCTTGTTTTTCATTTGTTTATTTCAATGTGTATGGTGTATGTATATGTATATGTTTGTGTGCATACCTATGTAAGTGCAGGGTCCATGTGAATGTGTGTACAGGCCTGTCTGTGGATGGAAGAGAATGATATGAGGTTTCTTCCTCAATCACTCGCCATATTGGCTTTTTAAATATTAATTATTATTGTTATTCTTCTGCTTATTGTGTGACATGTGTATGTGATTGTAGCCCACTTATGTCCTAGCGTGTGTTTGTGTTTGTAGGTCAGAGGACAACTTTCAGGGATCCATTCTCTCCTTCAACTGTGGGATCTGGGGATTTGACTCAGGTCATCAGGCTTGCCTGGGAAGTACTTTTACCTGCTGGACCCTCGACTTTGTATTTGTATTTATTTATTTGTTTATTTTTATTTATTTTTTTGAGTCGGGATCACTTACTGCACGGGGAGCTGAGCAAGTTGGCTAGCCTGGCTGGCCTGTGGCCTGTGACCTCCAGGGATCTTCCTATCTGTTGAGGCTCTGAACTCAGGTCTTCATGCTTGCACACAAAGCACGTTACAGATTGAGCTATCTCCCCAGTCCACTTTTCTTTTTTGTAATTTTTTTAACTAGCATACAAAGTACTAGGCCTCATTAGGGCATTTTCATGCATATTTTGTTTTTGTTGGTCTTCTTACCCTACTCTCCTCCCCACCCCCTGCTTCCCTCTTACTGGGTCCCTTTCTCTCCTCAGCAGTCTGTTCCCCTTCTGCTTTCGTGTCATGTCTATTCTATTATTTATCCTCTTTTCCCATCTCCCCTTCCTAAGATCTTTTCCCTCTCTTATGGTCCCCTTTCTAGTTCCATGTTCTATATCCACACCCACATATATAAAAATTAAAATCTAGGCCAGCTGGGGCTGCAGGGAGACCCTGTCTCAAAAAGACAAAAAAAAAAAAATCTAGGATCCACATATAAGGAAAAAAATGTAGTATTTATCTTTATCTTTCTGAATCTGTCTTATTGTACTTAACATTATAATTTCCATGTTCATGATTTCAGTTTTCTTTACAGTCAAGTGAAATTCCACCTTGTGTATAAATACATTTTTTATCTATCCATCTGCTGATGAACATAGAGGTTAGCTCTATTTCTTAGCTATTGTGAATAGTGTGAAAATGAAACCTTTAACTTTCAAATAAATAACTGCTGTGACTTATTCACATACACTTGTAAAGAAAGTCTTATTTCTTGTTTTGTTCACTAAGTTCTTACCATTTGGTAGCCTATTCTACTTTACGTATGTATGCATTATTCCTTCCTGGAAGAAGCACCCAAAACAAGTAAAAACTCTTCAAATCCAATTCTCCTTTCATTTAACTATATTCTGATTACTCTCTATGGTGTTTTGATTCATTCTGTGAACCTGCTTCTACAAAACCTGTTTTCAGTCTAATAGGACTCCAAAGCAAATCAGCTGCTTTCTCTATATTATTAGCCGCTCTCACTACCATGTTGAAGAGTTTGAACTTTATCCTGTAGGCCAATATTTTCAAGTGTTATGTCTACTGGAACTCTAAGTGTCCCATGAGATGTTAGTAGGTATTGTTTTAAATAAGGGTTCTACGTTCAGGTAAATTTATGAGATGCTGAATACTCCATTTTGGAAAATTACAATGTACATTAATGTAGTAAAGACTGAAAATATTTGAGCATCTCCCACACTTTTTCAAACTGTTGTCTTCTATGTAATATTTATTAGCAGCTAAGAAACAGTGGTACCCAGGACATAAGTTGGGATATTTTGGTAGGGGCATTGTAGGAACAGAGACGTGACTAATCAGATTTAAGATTTAGCAAGGCAGTCTGATGGAAGGGTTGATTAGAACAGATTTAACTAGAAGGAATTGCAATACTTTAGAATTTTGGTAAGGGCCTTGAATAGATTGTGGCAGTAGAGTAGCAGAGGACATGTTGGATTAACAAGAGGTGGTAAAATTTATGTGACTTGGGGATAGAATGTGAGGTTGGGAGGAAGAAGATAATTTTCTGGGACTGGGCATGTTGAGTGGATGGTATTTATCAGAGATTGGTAAATTGGATCTATTTGGCTATTGCTTATGAGGAAAATCTGGGTTAGAAATAGACCCAAAATGATTTAAAGTGAGAAAAGACCTGATAGTGAAGCGTTAAGCAAAGACAAAAAGGCAAGTAGTCTAAATGGGCTTTTAATTTTGGGTTATTTGGTGAATTCTCAAATGGTTCTTGTTGGTTACTTTGTGAAGAAAGAGACATCTCTGTTTTCATTTACTCCATTAACATTCTCAGGATACAAGGCCTGGGGATATAGTTCAGATAGTAAACTGCTTGCTTAGCATGCTAAGCCCTGGGCTCCACTCTCAGTATCACATAAATCAGAAATAGTGGCATAGCCTTGTAATCCCAATGCTCAGGAGATAGAGGCAAGAAGCTGAGAAGTTCAAGGTCATCCTCAGCTATATAGCTAGTTTGAGAAGGCCAACCTGGGCCACATGAGATACTATCTCTAAAAAACACAAAACAAACAAAAAAGAAATGAAAATTTTCAGAATACAGCTTTTAGAAAAAAATATAGACAGAATTTAGTAAGAATTAAGATAACAAGGAATCATTATGAAGACAAGGTCTTATAGGTGAAATGCCCATGGCCAACTGACAACTGATCTTGAGTTAGGTACCTTTAATATGTCCAAAATCATGCAGTGCTGTGGCATAAAGTAAGCTTTCATATTGAGGACAACAGATTACAAAAACCTTGCATGTGAATATTTATAGCAGCACTATTCATAATAACTAAAAGTGGAAAAATCCCAGATGTCCTTCCACTAGTGACTGGATAAACAAAACATGGTGTATCCATACAATGGATTGCTATTTAGCTATGAAGAATAAAGCTCTGTTCCATATTACAATGTGGAGGAACCTTGAAAACATGCTGAAAGGAAGAGGCCAAGCATGAAAGAACATTATATTGCCATTTATACAAAATGTTCAGATTGGAAAATCCATAGAGACAGAAGGTAAATTCATGGTTACCAGGGACTGGGGAGGTGGGCAGTGATTGCTTATGCATACTGGGTTCTCAGGGGGTGCTAGAAAGCATTCCAAAACTAGGTAGTATAATGATTGGTGGTCATTGTACAGCTCTGTGACTATTCTAACATTGTTCAAAGTGGTATGCAAAGTACATCTTAATTTTAAATTTTTATTAAGATTAAAAATTTAAAATGGTGGCTTCCTGGTTATCATTTGAGTCCTTCAGGATCTTGGGTGTCAAGTTCAGAAAGGAGTGGGACAAGAGTGGTCTCTGGATGTTCCCCCCTGAAGAATGACTGAGCGGGGCTTCTCAGGGACAACTCCTGTTGGGGAGAAGGCAGGGGCAGCATTGTGACCAGGAATGAGTTTCTAATGTCTTCTCCCTGACCATACAGCTTCCCTCATCTTCCATCCTTCCCCAGGCCCCCCTGGTTCTAGGCCATCAGGTCTCCTCTCCAAAGCAGGTGTTCTTATGCTCTCCAGAGCACAGTTTCTTCAGTCACAAGAAAATGAGCTTCTGGGTGTCAGAGCAGCCATACTGGGTCTTATACTGGTCAAACAGCTTGTACAGGGCATCCATATAGAGTGCATGGTATTTGTCCACCATCTCTGGGCTTGGTTTTTTAATGTGGGGCAGTGGCAGAGGCTCCCCAACTGTCAAAAGAAATAGGAAAAAAGAAGAGTAGAGGCACCATAATCTTTGTTTCCTCTAAGCAACTCTCCGTCCCTGGGCCAGACACTGACCACTCCAGTCAACTCCCAGCTTCTCCCACTCTCTTGCCTTCTTCTTGGGTGCAGGAGGGATGAGATGCACTGGGGTCAGGGAGAGGGGCAGAGAGAAAGCACTAAGATGGTTTTGGGGCTAAAGCAGCACCTACCTACAATGACAATAGGCTTGTGGTATGGTAGGAGTCCAGTGGAACCTTGGCGGAAGCCTTGTCCATAGAAGACACAAAAATAGAAACAAAAAACACGATGGAAGAAGCTCTGGAACTTGTACATCCTGCTGTCTTGATGGAACACCACCTGGTCATACACCTCAGTTTCTCCAAAGGTGAAGGTAGGGACCAGATGAGCCCTGTAAGAAAGTCCCGATTTATTTCTCAGACCCAGGCTGTCATGGGAACCACCTTTGAAGGACATTTGCTCAAGGCCAGACACTTTTCTATTATGAATCAATACTAGGAGCCTAAAGAATTTCTTTTTGCACTAAACAAGGACCCCTTATTTAGTGTCTCTTGCCTTGAAAATTTCCAGAGTGCTATTTCCAGTCTGGATTACAAGGGTAAGATATGGAGATGCAGAGAAGGAAGAGGACCTGGGAAGAGATGCTCAGAGACCCAAATGGTGAGAAACTTCCAGAAGGTGTCAAAGAAGGAACATCTGACTTTCTACTAGAGAAAGCACAGGATGTGGGAAATTTGTATAGATGCATAGATATGATACACCTTCGCTCAAGCAGACCAAACATACGGTATTCTGTCTTTGGGTAAAGGGATTAGAGCACAGAACATTGTTTCTTTATCCAGAGTCCACAAGAACCCACCCTAAACAGTAATCTAGGAACAAAATCAGGCTCCTAACAATTATTAAATGAGAAAAAAGAGAACACAGCACTTTGACGTATATTACCTGACTAGTTCCTCACAAGAGACAAGTGAAGACACGGGTGAACCAGAGCTAAGGCCCAGCAGGGGGAAGGTTATTCAGGTAGTCAGAGTAGCAGGACCTGACTAGAACCCAGAACCTGTGGTCCTGGCTCAGAGCTCCCTATTCTACATTATACTCCATGGGTTCCCCAGGTAAGGGCCTTTGAAGATAGACTCTTCTCTGAGTATACAAACTGCCCCTGAATCAGAGGGCTAGCTTGCTGAACTGGCAGGCCTCCCTGTAGCTCCAGTCTCCAGCTATATTTTTTTCCTCACCCATGTCAGTGCAGCTAACATTTATCAATCACCCACTGGGTGCAAGGTGCATGGTAGGTATTTTATATGGATGAATTCATTTAAAGCTCTGATCATGGTGGCTCAGATCTACAGTTCCAGCTGTTTGAGAGGCTGAGGAAAGAGGATCATATGTTCAAGGTCTGCCTGAGCTACAAAACCACAATCACCCTACGAAGCAAGAACAATGATCAGTAGCCATGTTATGAACATGAAAACCTCAAGGCTCAGAATAGCTAGGAAACCTGTCCCAGCATGCATGGTAAGTCATAGAGCCAGTTTTTCTTCTTCCTCCTCTTTTTTTTCTTCTTCTTCTTCTTCTTCTTCTTCTTCTTCTTCTTCTTCTTCTTCTTCTTCTTCTTCTTCTTCTTCTTCTTCTTCTTCTCTTCCTCTCCTCCTCCTCCTCCTCCTTCTTCATCATCCTTTGTTGTTGGGATGGAGTACTAGACAGGTGCTCTACCACTAAGCTATACACTTCAAGCCCCGGAACAAGGATTTTAAATCAGGCTCCAGACTCCAACTCCTACACACAAATTCATTATTGTGTAGTGCTGCTTGCACTTATTATCAACGGACAGATGTAGGTTATCTCTATTAGCCATAGAGACAATGTGGGCATCGTTGACATGCTATGGCAGCCCTAGGCCAACTGTCCCTGACATCAAACCTGAGTTTTATAGTCTGACTTCCAGGGAACTGTGCAGCTTACTCAGAGGAAGTAGATGAGCTAAAGTTTTTCAAAAGTTCCTTGAGGGCAAGACTCAAATATTATTCATATTGGCACAGTCTACAGGGTTGTGCTCCACAGACATGGCAACCTACTCCTCCTTTTAGGGGAACACCTACCCGTGTTGGAGGGCTGTGCGCACAAACCCCTTACGCTTCTGAAGGATGAGTGTGGTCCTGTTGGGCACACTTTGTAGGGCCTCTCCCACTCCTCCTACAACAATGCCCACGAGGTTTCCAGTGCCATGGCTCAGTAGGTAGTTGATGGCTGGCTGGCTCACAGAACACACTCCTGGAGAGAATCAAGGCACAAAGAGGACAAATCATCAGGGGAGGAGCAAATGGCAGAGAAGGAACAGATGGGTTTCTGTACTCCCACAGGACATAGGAAGAGAAGCTCAAAGAGATGGGACCAAAGTGTGGAGAAGAGGAGGCAATGGACAGAGAGAACATGTTTCACTGGAAGGCAATATGTCCATGGGAAGCACTGGGTGGAAACTACAGAAGGAAGGCTTTCAGTGGGATAAATAGGACTTTCTGAATTTCAATTTGACTTCTACCCCCTTTCCCCATTAATAGCAACAGCTATTGTTCACTGAGCAGGCAGGCATTGTGCTGAATGCTTTACTTACATTTTCTCATTTAATCACCATACCACATCTGATGTTGGACTATTACCATCAGCACCCCTTTTCAGATGAGGAAGCTGAGGCCACTTGAAGGTAGCTAATTTGCTTAAGATAATACAGCAAGCAACAGAGTCAATATTCAAACCCAGAACGTGTGCTTTGACTTCTGCACTGTGATTATGGGGCAAGGAAATGGTGTAGCGGGGCAGGGTGTGTGTGTGTGTGTGTGTGTGTGTGTGTGTGAGAGAGAGAGAGAGAGAGAGAGAGAGAGAGAGAGAGAGAGAGAGAGAGAGAGAGAGAGAGAGAGAGAGAGAGAGAGAGAGAGAGAGAGAGAGAGAGAGAGAGAGAGAGAGAGAGAGAGAGAGAGAGAGAGATCATTTATGAAAGAAGTGCAGAGAAATGGACCAGAAGCTCCAACGAGTATGGTCTGAGGCACCTTTGGCCATGAGATAGTCCCTAATAAGGGGGACCTTGAAGAACCAGGACAGTGTGGCCAAGTGAGGAGTGATGCCTGGGAAGGTCTTCAAGAAGCCTGTGGCCTCAGTGCAGAAGTTGCAGAAGGCGCCGAAGGTCAGAAGGCCATGGGGATGAACCCCCATGAGGTAGTTGTGCTCAGGTGGCAGGTCCTTAGTCTTTAGGATCCGCAACCATGGAAACAAATGGCAGAGAGAGCGGAATGAGCTCACATGGAGCAGCAAGTTGAAGACATGCCAGGGATCTGGGTGTTCTCTGAAACAGGTGCCTGACAGACAAAGCATACGCGAGTTTAAAGAGGCCAAGACTGGTCTCCACAGCCCTAGGGTGACAAGGTAGGATCTGGGGTAATTGGAACTACTGAGGCTCCTCCTTGCGGCTTTCAGGAGTCTCTGTCATCTGTGTCAGTGAACTTTATGCATGCTACCATTTTCTTTGCGCGATGGTAAGTGCCAATGGTCAGGAAGTTCTGCTCTAAAAATCAGGACTGTGTCATCTACTCTGAAGATACCCAGAGGGTCCTCAGAACTGTACATTTCTAAAACCTCTTCCTTGTGTTGTACTCTTCCACCAGCCTCCAATGTCTGCCTAGGTAACTTTTATTGAACTTAAACTCTCCTTAGACATCACCACATCTGTGAATCCTTTCCCTTTCTATCCTCCATCAGAATCACATTCATGCCTTGTACTAGACTGCAATTATGCACCTGCCTGTCCTTCCTATCAGATGTGAGCTTGATCACCAAGAAACACATCCTGGTCATTGCTCTGAACCCCAAACACGTGGTCAGAGGAAGTGTCTGACTCACGTTTGTTAAACGGAATCATACTTGCTCTCAGTCTATGTCATGTGGCGGTTCATGACAAGGATGTCCAAAGTATCTCAGCAAAGTACAGAGCCTGAAATCATCTAGCCAGGACTGAGATTTCATCAAGATGCTTGGTTTTCTTATGGGCAGCCCTAGTTAAAGTACCTAGTGTTTTGAGAGTTGAGAGGGGCACACACTGGGGAAGGGATACTTACTGTAATGGGGAAATAGTCCCTGATGTGGGTCCAGATATACCAGTTTCTTACCCAGGCTGACCGCCTGCCACCTAAGACAAAAATACCAACAGAGGATGGTATTAGTATTGCCACACCTCTCACTCACCCAGGGATTCCCTACCAACTTGGAGGGATCATGGCTGTGTTAGATAGGTAGGAATGGAAGACATTCCATAATGGTTCCAACTGCCAAGCTCCTGTAGTTCTGAAAACATAGCGGAGAGGCCTGTGGCATGATAGTAAGGCCCTTCCCCATGCAGGGCTATATGCTGTGGTGGAACAGTCTTCTTTCTAGTCCATGAGTCTTACCTTGATCTGGAGTCTTCCAGTCCAGAAATAACCAGGCAAAGTACAGTGTTGGTAGTAGCCACAAAGATGTAAACAACAGGCAAATGAACAGTGGTTGCAAGATCCAAACTGATGAGAGAATAAGTCAGACCAGATTTGCAATGGCAGCAGTATTTGACCACGCCCAGTTCTATTATTTGCTTCCTGGACTTCCCATGCTCTGGGCCTGGTCCTCAGCACAGCCTAGCTTCTGACATTTGGCCTTCAGAAATTTCTTTTGTCATCCACCATACGCAATCCCTAGTTCTTCTCCTACATCCCTGCTGCCCCGCTTCTGCCCATTCACCATCCCTGTACTTACACTCTCTGCCTGAGACAAGTTTTGTCTCCTGTTCACATCCAGCCATCATTTTTTCCTTCTTGTCTCCTATCTCCATGCCATCTTCCTTTGCTATTTTTCTCTCCATCTCACTCCACCACTCCTGTACTGCTACCTACCCCCATTCTTTTCCTCTTGTCCAGTTATCACTTCTTGCATTGTCTGTCTACCACCCTACTCTCAGAGTGGAAATTGTTTCAAACATTGGCTAGAGAGCCAGACATGGCTGCACATGATGGTAATTCCAGCATTCTGGAAGCTAAAGCAAGAGGATAACATGTTAGAGATCACTCTGAACTGCATAGCAAGAACTTGTCTCAAAAACCCACCAACAAACCAACCAAACTACGTTAAGAGCAATCAAGCAAGCAAGCAAACTCCAAATATTCGATTTCTCTTAGCCTATAATGCTAATGGTTCTTCTCTTTTATGTCTCATGCTCATAAAAGAAACTCCTGTGGTCTCGTTTTCCCTCCATAGTTGTTAGTGCAGTTTAGGAAGTGACTCGAAGTGGCTGGACACTCATACCCATCATTCCTGTGTTCCACATCCCTGTCTGTTCTCACTGTACCCTGGGACTCCATTTCTTCCCTTTCATCCAGGTCACTCAAAGAGCCCAAGACTCCTTGACTTGACTCTAATTCCATCTTAGCTGTTCAAAAGGCCAGAGATGAGACTTCTTATGACGATAAAAAAAATCACCCCAGATCTGGCCCTACATTCTCATGTTGGCGTCTTGGGGTGCACTCTTGGTTCAGTACTCACAGATGGCAAGGTAGCTCAAGGGCCAGTGTAGAAGGCTCAAAGTCTGTAAGTAATCAGGCTGCTTAGAGCAAGGCATGATGCCCAGGAGCACAGGGGAGGTAAAGATCTCAGAGCCTGTTCCAGCAAAAGGTACCGCCAGCCTCTGGAAGCTCACTTAATAGTGAACGCATAAGACTGTGAAGAGCTGACACCAGCCCTCTCCCCTCCTTCTCTACTCCCACCCCCCACCCACTACAGAGGCAGGTTCTGTAGTGCTGGGGACTGCCCCATTAGGTCTGGCCCAGCCCGTGTGCCCTTTGACTCTTTCCTGGGACTCTTAAGACATCAAGATGGAGAAAGGAGAGAATGCCTGCCATTCAGTTCAGGTGACAGACACCCAAAGAGGGGGAAAATCTCACAGATCACTCAGAGACCAAGTGAAATAGATGATTGGTAGGAAGAGCATTCTTGGGTTGTGGAGTGAGGAACACCTAGGATTAGGTCTCTGCCTCCCTGAAGCAGCCTGCTTTGGGGCTGCCCTACCCCACACTTTTTCTACACATTCTCATCTTTATGTTCCCTTAACCACTGGAACAACAAACAAAATAAAAGCTCCAACTGTTAAAATTTTGTCATACTTGTTTCATCTGTTTGCAATTTTGGAAGGAGTATTTTACAGGACTTTTAAGACATTATGACATTTCACCACTAAATACTTCACTATGTATCTAGAAAAATACAGATGTTTTCATCTACAATATCACTACCACTATCACCCTTAAAAATGTGGCAATTCCCTCCCAATAGCTAATATTCAACACAGGCAAATGCCTTTTTAGTTAGTTCCAAACAAGATTGACTGATATTATATTTGGATGTTATGGCATTTAAACATCCCCCTCAACTCTCACTGTAAAAGTAGAACCCAGATAAAAAATTCACTTAAATCGATGTATAAATAAATAAATTCTCTCTCTCTCTCTCTCTCTCTCTCTCTCTCTCTCTCTCTCTCTCTCTCATCTTTTTGGGAAAGGGTCTCCCTGTAGCCACAGCTGGCCTGGATTCACTATGGAGACCAGGCTGGCCTTGAACTCACAGAGATCTGCCGTCCCCTGCCTCCCAAGTGCTGGGACTAAAGGCTTGCGCCACCATGCCTTGCTGCTTAATGAATTTTCAAACACCTGGTAACCACCACTAGGAGAAAAAAAATAGAACCTTTGTGTCTACCCAAATCCCATCCATTCACCATATTCTAATTCCTGTCCTCTTCTCTCTCTACGTAACCATTATCTGAACACCTAGAGTAATCTTTTCTTGCTGTTCTATGGGTCGCTTCTCCAAATGAAATCCCCTAATAACTATGAGTTAGTTTTTCCCATTCAAGATTTATTATGTCCTTTAAGTTTTCTCTTTTTAAGCTTTTTATTCTGGAATAACTAGATCTACAAGGGAGTTGCAAGACAAAAGCTGCAAAACAAAGAGTTCCCTATACTCTTCATGCAGCTTCCCCCTTTTGTTATTAGCATGTTATACAAATATGGAATATTTATTAAAACTAAGAAACTAGAGACTGGGGAGACGACTCAGTGATTAAGAGCAGTGGCTGTTCTTGTAGAAGACTTGGGTTCGAATCCCAGCATCCACATGGCAGCTGACAACCCTCTGTAACTCTGTCTCCAGGGGATCTGATGCCCTCCTGGGACAGTGTTAGTACATGGATGCACTTACACACATGCAGATATAACACTTATACACATAAAAATAAAAATAAACCAAAAAATTCTTTAAAAAGTAAGAGACTAGAATTGGGGCATCTCTGTTAATTGAACTCCAAGTTTTGCTTGGATTACAGCACTGTTTGCACGTATATCCATTGTGTGTTACAGCATCCCAGTAGGATGCCACATTCCATCTAATCATCATGTCTTCTTAGTCTCTTCCACACTTTTTTGGTCTTTCCTTGTCTTTCTTGACATTGGCACTTTTGAAGAGTTTGAATGTTTTGTTTTTGATTTGGGATTTTGTTTTGAGACAGTGTCTTGCTATACAACCCTGCCTGGCCTAGAACTTGTTATGTAGACCAGGATGGCCTTATAAATTTGCAGAAATCTTCCTGACTGCTCCCTGAATGTTGGGAGTACAGACATGATTCTCAAGTATTTGTGTGTGTGTGTGTGTGTGTGTGTGTGTGTGTGTGTGCATGTCACAGTGAATATGTGGAGGTCAGAGGACAACTTCTGGAAGTTGGTTCTCTCATGTACCACGTGAGTTCTGAGGATCAAGTTTAGGTCACCAGGCTTGTACTACAAGTGCTTTTATCCACCGAGCCATTTCACTAGACCTCAAGTCTGTTTTAATATACAAGTTTTTCTTCCAGTTTTTTTCTTTTCCTTAAGGCTCAGCTGTTTCAGAACTTACATGTGACATTGTACCTATAGAATTTCCCAGTGTATACTTTGTGTGTCATCCACTCACAGTGCACTTTGGCATGGTTTTCTGTATTTTCTGCAGATTCGGCAGCTGAATTCAGATTGTATAGGGTTCAGATTTGATCCTTATGGAAGACCTTAATTTGCTTTTAGTATAGAATAATTTCCTTTCATGCTCTTCTTTTTATCCCATGCCCTGCCCTATTAAAAACTGTTTCTTCTTCAAGTAACTTCTCAGCTTCCATGAGCAGAGAGATATTGTGTATGTAGCCTGGAACCTAAGGGAGTGCCAACGATAGGCCCAAGTGGGAGCAGGGTAGAGCCCTCATTCTTCTTTCTGACTCCCTTCTCTTATCTTGTAACTTTATGTCCATTATAGCATGTTGGATTGTAGTATGTCATTTTAATTTTTTTCCACCTGAAGAGTCTATGTATCTGAAGGGATAAAGACCACCTTGGTGTGTGTGTGTGTGTGTGTGTGTGTGTGTGTGTGTGTGTGTGTGTGTGTGTGTATGTGTATGTGTAAAGACTGAACCCAGGGCCCTGAGCATGTTGGTGAGTGCTCAACCACTGAACTACAAGCTTAGTAGTGTGACAATTCTTGTGTTGGAAAGTTAAATGGCATCAATATCAAGCATGCAACCCTTGAGTGCTTCAGGTTTAAGGTGTGTGACCAGATGATTTCTTACGTGTAATGAGATCATTAGATTCCTATGGAGGAGTATGTCTGGGGACTTTACCAAGGAATAATAAAATGTGTAGTAATGGAGGATAAAGGACACATTTCAAAAGAGGAGGTAAGGATGCAAGAAAGGAAGGCAGGTGCTGGCTGACGTTTGGCACAAAGGAAAGTTCCACAAGCTTTGCCTCCACTATCACTGAGTGCCCCCTCCTCCAGGTCTTCCTGTTAGTCAGAAACCAGCCTAGCCCTAGGGCAAATGTTAGTCTCAGGTATTGCTGCATAGCTGCCCTGCTGATGTGGTAACCTCCTGGGGCTGGGGATGAAGCCTCATCCCTGGTAATACAGGGGAGATTAACACTTTGCTTTTCCAGAAGAAAATGTCCTGGGCCCACATCAGCTGCCTCTTCACACTCTCTCACCCTTGTAAACCAGCCTCCTTGGGTAACATTTGTTAACGTGCGAATTCTCAGTATTCCCCTCTTTCCTCCTGCCCCCCTGAAAAAAAGAAAAGTTATTTAGAAGGCACTTAAACTACAGAAAGTTGATGGTATATAATTTTTCCATTTAGCTCCAGATCCCATCCCTTGCTTTGATATTTTCATATCTAAAATACTATGGACCTCCATATGATAATAGTTGTATTTTTATTTTAACTTTTTAAATTATTGCTTTTTTATTTTTCTTTAATTGTATGGGTATGAGCGTTTTGCTTGCGTATATGTAAGTGCACCCATGTCATGCAATGCCCACAGAGGCCAGAAGAGGGCATCAGATTAAGGAGTTGAAGATAGTTGTTAGCAGCCATGTGGGTGGTGGAAACTGAATCCGTGTCCTCTGTAAGGACAGCCAGTGCTCTTAACTGCTGAGTCATCTCTCCAGTCCCAATAGTTGTATTTTTAATCTCACTTGAGAAATATCTGACACACTGAACCTGCTATGTGTACACATCATGATGGTATTTGCATACATTTGAAAAATATATATCTAAGAATATTATTTATTCATTCTAGACAATGCTTAAACTAAGTAGAGCTCTGGGATAATGAAATTATTCCCTTACTTCTCAGCAATTTGCTTTGTATAGGTTGTGAACAATGACTTGTTGATTCTTTTTTTTTAAATATTTTATTTTATTATTTTTATTTTATGTGTACAAGTGTATTGCCTGCACGTAGGTAAGTGCACCTGTGTCGTGCAATGCCCGCGGAGGACAGAAGAGGCTGTCAGATCCCCTGGAACTGGAGTTACAGACAGTTGTTAGCTGCCATGTGGGTGCTGGGATTTGAACCTGGGTCTTCTGTAAGAACAACCAGTGCTCTTAACCACTAAGCCATCTCTCCAGCCCTTGATTCTATTTAAATAAAAATTTATTTCTTTTTTATGATTACAGAAATAATCCATGTAATTGTGACAATTTTCAGAGTACTCAGGAAACTGTTAAGGGAAGAAAAGCTACGTGTAATCTCACCACTCAGAAATCATCACTGTTCACTGTTAACATCCTGTTATCCATTTTTCTTGACGCTGTTTTTTTCCTATACAAATGTAACATAGATATGGTATCACTGTTAAGAGTTTAGATTTGGGAGTCCAGTATGTGTAGGTCCTTTATCTCAATGATGTAACCTCTCAGTGCCTCAGTTCCTTCATCTGTAAAAAGATTAGATTATCTACCCACATCATAAGATGTTATTTACATAAAATAATGTAGAGCCGTTGGCTCAGTACTTTGCTCATATATACACTCATATCAAAAGTTCAATAAATGTTAGTTCTTTAATATAACTAATTAAACAAAATGGTAACATATCCTATATTCCATTTTGTAACCTGCTTTTCACTCAGTGGTATACTGTGGACATTTTTCCATATCTCTGTAGCATCATGTATAGTCTTTCATTGTATGGCTAGGTCATAATTCTTTTATCAATCTCTTATTGTGTATGAGGCACAAGATCTCACATAGCCCAGGGTAGCCTTGAACTC